TTTTCGTCATAACATACTGAGCATGCTCAGTATCAGTCTTTTTTGACACTTTACGCCGTAAATCATTTTAATAATATATATATCCGAAATAATTTTCACATTTTCAGTAATTTATATCAATTTTTATCATCATCATATTGTAATCGAATTATTCTGTCTGAAAGAATCAGAGCATAAGCTTGTGTATTATCAGCAATATTATTATTATTGAATTCAGCTTTAATCTTCATATCAATAAGACTGTCCTTATTAAGACGCTCATTTTGCCTTACGGTATCAAATACAAAAATCCGATGTAAGAACCTATAATATTTGTATGAAATTGCACTATATGCCTGGGATGCTTAACCTATCATCATTTTATAAACTACTGCATAATTACAAAGTCAATTTGTAAGTCTTGCTCAGGATACCTTTTGCTATTCAGCTGGATACATGCATTCTTTAAATCACAGTGATCAAGCAGTGCATTATTTGATAGTTATTAATTATCTCTATCAGTTTCAAATGCTAAAATGACATAACTAGGCCTTTGAGTTACCGAACTTGGTGTAAGAGTCCAATCCAAGTACTTAATATTATGACTCATTATTGTCTGCTCGAATTGTCGATTCATGTAAGCACTATTCATATTCGAATTATATCTTTCATTTTACTATATAATTTAATAGTTATTTGCTTGAATTATCAACATTACGAAAAATAAACATGATTGTTTTTTAATATAGTTAATAGACTAATAGTTCTAAATGCATTCAAATTATAGTCAATCGCTGTACAATATTGTGCGTATTTACATCTGAAAGAAGAACGAGTATTTAAGAATGGTTGGTTATTAGTACTAATAAAACATTTCAGCACAGCAGCTGAAGCTTCTTCATATAAAAAAAATTGTTTCGGACAAAAACGTATAATTTTTGGCGGGACGATTATCAAGTAAGGAAGATCAAAATATATATTATGCCACAAAATTGTATTGCAAAATACGTTGAAATTGAGCAGTATATAATTTATAATCCAAGCTAATCAAATAAATGAAGGCTACTTGACTAGGAGGTTATTAGGAGACCTAAATATTGAATTAAAAAATACAGAACAAAACAACGCTGAGGGCAAGAATCCACTTCAACGAAGGAAATTCTGAGAAAAATTGAAACAGAAGTGACTACATTAACAATTTTTGAGCTGAATATTTCAGAAGAAGCAGAAGGATCAAGAAGATTCCACAAGAATGCAGAATATCACCAAATATTCTGCCTGGCTGGAAAACGTCAACTATGATGTAACTCAGCCGGGCAGCTCTTGCGACAGCGAATTTTCACAACATACTCTTCAAGAAGCGTTCGCAGCGGCCTTAGAATCTTGGCGTCAGGGTTGTGAAAAATACACGCGGCTGCAGCGGGTTAACTTCGAAAAGTGGTACAAGCTTTATTGGTTTTGATAGAGTAGTTATTGAGAGAAAAATCGGTGGCGTTATAACTTGAATTCACCTTGTATGGCCGCGAATATATAATTTAACATATCACGCAAATAAACAGTAAATATGTACTAGAAACACGTTTAACGCATTAAAGTAAGGAAGCTTTAGCATGCTCACCCATGGTCCTGGCTTTAAAGTGACTCAAGTGTCTAAATCTCAAATGACTTAAATCCAAACAAGTCATGTGGACCAGACGGCTTCCACCCCAGATTACTCAAAGAGTTAGCAACTGTGCTAGCCGGCCCTTTGACGTCATTTTTTCGAAAAACTTTGAACGAAGGGATCTTGCCGGAGTTTGTTGCTGTCGTGCGCCCGAACCTAGAGTTTGGAAACGTCGTGTGGTCACCGAAACTTGAAAAGGACAAAAATTTAATAGAGAGTATTCAAAGACGTGCGACAAGGATAATTCCGGGCTTGAAATGCAAGTCCTATGATGAAAGATTAAAGATTAAGAAGCTTCCAAGCCTCAGTTATCGACGTCTGCGTGGGGAACTCATTGAAGCATACTAGTATACTCATGACTAATACAAGGTTCCAGAAGGATTACTAGAATTTGAAACAAGAACCAACACCAGGGGCCACGACTACAAACTAAAAAAACTCCGTTATAACACATCCATGCGACATTTCTTCTCGCTTCGAGTCACCGAATGTGGAACAGCCTCCCTGATGGCATCGTTGACGCTCCGAGTATGAACGCCTTCAAGAACAGACTAGACGAGGCTATGCAAGAGCATATGTTCAGTCTTAAAATGCATAGCAAATTACGGACCAGGCAATAAGTCCAGCAGCTATATCAATCAATCGCCTGTTATGGAAAGATCGGGTTCCAAAGGCCGGATCACTTGTGAATCATGTCACGAAAAGTTCAAGAATCGGCAACAGGTCATGGGCCTATTTCTTCAGTGCCGACTTTTCTATTCTTCTATTCTATTCTAAGAATCAGTGTTTTGGCATGTTATAATTTGTTTACGAAGCGATTACCGTGGAGTCTGGTTCAAACGAACTTCGAGGGCACTTTACACGTAAGTTCAATAGAAGACAGGAGATATAAAAAGTCGCGATAATTGATAAGAACGGATAATAATGACCAAGCACAAGATTCATGGGCTAAACGAAATAGTTCAGTCTTTTGGCCTTGACGAAACACTGGCGATGGAGCCGGCTCAGCCGATGTTGCGGAAGCCGGCAGACCGGTCGAGATTCTGACGGCGGCGACCGGGAACTCTGTCGCTGACGGTAGATAGACTTGTAGATTGTATGAGGAGGTCCGCTGTTGATGACGAGCGCAGGCGACTTCTAGAAGGCAGATCCGACACGCGCTGCAGACATTCCGTGAGATAAGGAGGCGCCAGACCTTGAAAGCATCGGAACGTCAGAACAGCGACCTTGAACTGGGTGCGCTGCTGCATGCGCACGCAGATCACGTGATATCGGCGTAATGTGGTCGAATTTTCGCTTATAGCACGCGAGTCGCTTAACAGCGTTCATTACGGATTGCAGTTTATCGAGTGCCGTGAAATTGAAATCTGGATGAAATTTAAAAATACAAATTGAATACCCGTATTCACCCTACAACAGAGAAGGGTTTAGGACTTGTTGAATGCTCATCTCCACCTACAATAGACGAGAATATTGGACTTGGTGAATGTTTTTTTTTTCACTTTTGGCAAGGGCGTTTCTCGGTTATGTGCTCAATACCGACTTTTCGCACTCACCCTCATGATTATCTGCATTAATTATACAGTAATTTCATGAAGTGGCGCGCATCACTTCCTGCGCTGCAGGGTGACCATAACACCATGGTCAGGACGCAGGATTAGCTCTCCTAGCAGGCCGAGCTCCTCGACGCTCTGTTTGGCAGTCACTTCATAAGTGCGTAAGAAATGCGCCAGCATGACCTTCTCTTCCATCAGGGCAAACTTCTGACCTGTACATAGCCGAATATAATATAATATAGTGATATATAATATTCTAATAAAATATATATATAAGAATACTATAACAACATATAGAGTGTTATACAAATTCATATTAAAGTAATAAAAAGTATCTTCGAGTTACGAGTAAAAACACAATTTTGCGCTAGAACCTAGTCGACTATGAAGATCCAACACAAGCGTTGCAAAAATGTGACCTAATTATTGAATTTCAAACAATGGGAGCAGCTTCAAGGGTTAAATTTTCACAAAATATTGACGCTGACTTCTAACAACGTTGACAACTTACGTTTATTTACGGACTTTTTAATCGTAGCAATGATGGTTCACATAAGGGGAGCGTCTTGAGGAAAATTTATCTCGGTTATTTACAAACGGATCACTTTGAAACTTGGTACACATAAGTAAAACCGAATCCTAAGACATTTTTGCTTCTTTCAATTTTTCGAAATAAATGAAAGAAAACGTGAAATTCTTAGAAAACGGTAAAAACGGGAAAACTGTAGAAATTTATCTCCTCCTAGGATTTTCAAGCTACAACATCGAGACGCATATGCATATCATTCGATGCGTATCTATCGAATCTATCGATTCGTTGTAGTTTTTTTCAAAATTCAAATTTTTGTGGGTATGGGAGCATTTTTATGCATTTTTCGAATTCCCCCTATTCCCCCCCTTTTCCAAAATATTTTCAAAACTATAACAAAATTATATAAAAAGCTACCAAAATTAAACAAAAGCGACCAATCCCTAGATCTTTTATTTGCAAATCGAACGGTATATCTCTCATCACTGTAGCTTAAAAACTCTAGGAGGAGATAGATTTACAGTGACAATAAGTGTGAATGTTCAGGAGGGCGCGACTAAGTCCCGCGCGCCTCGAAATCGGCATTCAAGGTTGCCAGGATGTAAGACTAGACGATACCGGAGCTGAATTTCTGTCAAGGATGATGCGAACGACTGCACGAGAACCATCCCCCCACGACTGCAGCCTGGTAACTAAAGCGCAATGTGTTCAGACTAACTATTTCATGTGCACTGCCGATAATTTCCGCCATGTTAAATTTTAAAGAACTCCACCACCCCTAACCATTTCGCGATCTATCGTGAACGCATGAATCAACGTACAGAGATGGTTTTGGTACCGTTGGATAGGTCAGAATGTCAGCTTTAAGATTAGACTAAAAACCGGAAAAGCCAAAATCCAAAATTTTTCGCCAGACGCACCTCATAAGGATGATAGTTCAATAACACTAATAATATGTTTTTGAGTTCAATGAGTAAACCTAAAGAAGAAGAGAAGGCCGTTAGTTGGCATAAGAGAGGAAGAGAAGGCCGTTAGTTTGCACAGGCAATGAAGGGAAGACCATTATTTGGCATACACGACGAAGAAAAGGCACACACAAAAACATATTTGAATATTTTCAAAATTCGTTCGAATTTCTGACTTCGACTTCGGACTGCCGAAACCCTACCGCCCATTTCTTCCCCACTGCCCCTTCCCTTAGATCTTTCCTCCACCCCCAGAGGGGCGGTACGCCGGTACCGCCAACTTTGGGAACCACAGGCGTACAACATACCAATGCAGTTCCGGGGCCCGGCGCTAAAGGGCACGTAGGAGTACGGGTGTCTTTTGGTTACTTCGTCGCCCAAGAAGCGATCGGGGTTGAACTCTTCAGGGTTGGGGAATTGTTCGGGGTCACGATGTATACAGTAGATCATGGCGATGACGTTTGTGCCGGCCGGAAGCTCGTAGCCGTCTGAAATTAAAAACTAAATAAAAAATAGAGAAAGGGTAACAACAGCATCATAAAAAATATAGGAAGTACATTATATTAGATGGTAAGTTGGATAATAATAGGTGTGAAAATGAATTTTTCGAATAGTGAGACGATAGATGGGGTAACGAACGTCAAGCATCTCAATCACATCGAGGATTCTTCCACAAGTAAAATCATCAAGTCACAAACGGGTTTTGATTAGTAGCTATTCATTTGGCCATCGTGCAAACAACATATTAAATAGTGAAAAAAATAATTCAATCCAGTGTGCCTCTTACAAGTATAAAAAATTTTAAAAGCATGGAAGAAAATTTTACTTTACCAACAGGCATGATATGGAGTTGCATTTCGCCTAATTTTTAACAACAGGGACCGCATTTTGAGTATATGACATGTTCAATCATGTAACCATAATACAATTCAAGCAAGATACTCTACCACACTAACAATAATAAGAAGTATTCAAACATATTTTTAAATATGTTTGAATAAATAGGACAAAATTTACCTTTTCCAGTAATTCACGAATTACGGATAGTGATATTGACAGTATCTTGCTCAATGCCTGATTATATATTATTGAAACCGATGCACTGTAACACTGACTGAGAGTAGCAGGTTTTAGGAGCTTGCGCCCAACGAATGGAACGGATGGGAAGATCCTTAGGGCCTCTTTGATGCACGCCTCCAGGAGCTTCAAGTCTCGCAGGGCATCAGTTGTGATGGTCACATCGCCTTCACCCAGCACATCGTTCAGCTCTTGCACCACGCGCGCCTGAAAAAGAAAATTTGAAATTCGTTCATGGTTGATTCATAAGTTTCACTCATGCAATTTTGAGACGTTTCTTCGTGAATTCAACAGTCTATTTCCTAATGAATTGCTGGTGCAGTACTGATGAAAAGAATTACGAGTTCGTAACTCTTTCAGCCATTCACTGACGGCTTTACAAGCTAGACTCACCAACCACAGACAAGAACCCGGCTGCTTCTTGCACTTGGCTGCTACGTGTATATCCATTAGCCGATACGTGTACGTGATCCGTTACGTGTACTTGAGCCGCTGTATGTACTTAAGCCACTTGGTGTACTTCATTCACTACATGTACTTAAGCCCTTACGTGTATTTAGTCCCTTAAGTGCACTGAGTTTTTTTGATAAAACGATCTCAGGTCGATCCTTACTATCATTCAATTGTGGACTCGATGGCTCACCTGAATTTGTGGATGCCTGCCGAGGAGGTAAATGGTGAAGCTCAGCGCTGCCGCTGTGGTGTCGTGTCCTTCGAACATGAACGTGTCCACCTCCTCCCGGAGGTCCTCGTCCGTCAACCGAGCGTCCGAGCTTTCTGATGCCTCCAGCAGCAGGTCCAGGAACGCCAGGCGCTTCTTGGCACCTGAGGCAAAGACAGCTTCATTAGTATCTCTGGTGACCAATATATATGTCGTAATATTACTGTTTAGCCCGTCGCCCCACTATAGAAACTCGCTAAAGTACACTAACCTTCTTAACACGTAGCGGCCTACGTCAGGAATGCCAGATGGCCAAAAAACTGCCAAGCCCGCGAATAAAAAGGCCTATAACTCAATATACACTAGTATATATGTAGGTTCCGTTATAAAATTTCATTTTTTTCAGTCCTTAAATTTAATTTGGGAGTACCCCTATTATAAATTTTAGCCAGCCAATGTAATTGAAAAAAAAACTAAATCACGGAATTCCTCCGGAAAAAATTCCGTTTGACAACCGTGGCCTAAGTATACGTGGCGGCCGATTTCTCGTCTGTGCTGGGTGAGGTTAGCTCGAAAATCAGTCAGTGATTGGCAGACGGAGTCGGGAAATCTTAACTATTTTTAGGGCTACGGCTGATGAGTGTGGTTCTATTTAAATTAGCTACATCACAGTTATTTTGAAAAGAAATCATCAAAGGAAACTTTGAAGCTAATTGCAAAATTAATTGCCGGATAAGCATTCACGCAGCATTTATTAAATGACATTTATTGTCATCTTGGATGGTCGAAATCATTAATTTCAGAATTTTTAAGAATGGAAGAAAAAGATTTTTTTAATTTACCAACCGATTATCTGCGGTTCTTGAGCACTATTCCCCGCCCCTTGCTTCTTGATCTTGTTGTACTCGATGCGTCGGGTTCTGATGGCGCCGAGAGACATGGCGTGCAGGGTGTCGATGTACCGACGCTGTTTCTTCTCCAGCCCTGAGAGCTTGAAGATGAGGTCGCTGTGCAGCCACGGTGAAAACTGCCGCGTCTGGATTAGTTCCGCAATTCTGAGTAAATAATTGATTTATTAGTTATTTTATTTAATTATTAGTTGATAATTAATTTTAATTAAGAATAATGTCGCGTCGCGCGAGTTAAACTATTGGAGTTTAGGGTTTACAGCGCTCTGCCTTCTCTCAGAACCATCCGCCTAGCTCCACTTCCGCCCGCTAGCGTGCAGCATGCGGCGTCTCATTTAGTAGTGACGAACTCCTGCGTTAGCATAAGATGTGTAGCTAATTCATTGCCTAGAAATCCAGTTCATTCATTGTCCATATAAAGTCTTTGTTTCACTGTGTCTTGTGTTAGTGCTTATTTGATCTTGATAAACCTGGTAAGCCCATTGTGAAATGCAATAGTAGTTTTTTTTGACTTTTCTTTGTTTTACTTATTGTCGGCCATTATCGTGTAACCGAATCTCCATCTTCTTTCTGTCCAGACGTGCGCAAACTTGATGTTGTTTCAATGTAACAGTAAATTGTTAGCGACCAATCGAACTGATGAATAAGATCGACGTGCCACATCTCGTAAGTGTAATGCTTGTCTTTGTTTTCTAAGCTACTGCTGTCATTATTGCATTATTTACACATTCATGAAATATTTAGATTGTTGCCAGCCTAAATTTAGGATTATTCTTTTTCGCAAAGTTCAGTACCTATCCATTGATTCTGTATAACGAGTTTCTTGGTATTTTGTTAACTTTCAGTGAGATTAAAAGTTCATGTTGTTTTTTCGAGTATTACTTCTGCTCTATTATGTGCAGATTTACGGTCGAACTTTCAGGCAGTAAACCTGGACTGAGTATCAAGAATGTCTTACTTACTGTCCTTGGGTTCACCGTTACTTGGCTGAAAATAGAAGATTTAGGTAGCCTCGAATTCAGTCCAAGACAAATAATAATATAATTTTTGCAATTCAGGGTCCGCCAAAAAAACCTCCCTGATTTCAATAGGCTTTTGCAAAAATTATACGACACATACAAAACAATTAATTTTATTTGTGAATAGCTTATTTGATGCCATTTTACATCACATAGTGCACTTTACTTGGTTTTGAAAATTATGTTCGATAAATGATGTCCCCCATTGTTAAGACATTCACGAGGTCTTTCCCTGAAGTTGCCCATAGTTCTTCGTGTAACTTCCCTTGGAATGGCTGCCACTTCCTGCCTAATGGCATGTTTTAGTTCTCGCAGATTTCTGGGACGATGTTTGTACACTTCAACCTTTAGGTAGCCCCACAGAAAGACTCACACTGCTCACACTGCTCACCGGTCCATGGAAATGTTAAGAGAGTTGTTCGTTGGACGTCTTGCTTCTTTAAGAGGAGACATTTCCTGGCCCCCACGGTCACCCGACCTATCACCTTGTGATTTCTTTCTGTGGGGCTACCTAAAGGCTGAAGTGTACAAACATCGTCAGAGAAATCTGCAAGAACTAAAACATGCCATTAGGCAGGAAGTGGCAGCCATTCCAAGGGAAGTTACACGAAGAACTATGGGCCACTTCAGGGAAAGACTACGTGAATGTCTTAACAATGGGGGACATCATTTATCGAACAAAATTTTCAAAACCAAGTAAAGTGCACTAATTGATGTAAAATGGCATCAAATAAGCTATTCACTACTACAATTATTGTTTTGCATGTGTCGCATAATTTTTGCAAAAGCCTATTGAAATCAGGGAGGTTTTTTTTGGCGGATCCTGTATTATGTATACATGTACATAGAGAATAGATAAGTCGTACAATAATTAGTTATAATATTACTAGCGAATTATAATATTATGAAAATATAATATTAAAATTTATCCACATTGGCCGTCAAATAGACATCACTTATCATGAATGACACCTCGATAAAACTATAACGGTCTATTCCAAAATAACTCAATTCATCCTGTGGTCTTAATTTTATTTTACAATAAATCAAGAACCAACATAATTTTTCAGATGTAAATTCTTGTTTATTAAATGAAGGTACGTATGTGAATTAACGTAATAAAGTACGTGATGATGGCCTTGAGCACATGAAATATTTGGCCTGGATCCAATGCAAGACGCTAGACGTTACATATAACAGAGACTAGCATTTACGTGGAATAAAGATGTTAAATTTATCTTCAATATAAATACTGACAGCCATTGAGGAATTTTACCAAGGCCAACTCACCCTACTACGGCTTTGACATAGTCGCTTTCTTCGTCGTTCTGAACGTTGATGTCGTTCCCCATTGCGGTCTCTGTAAGAAAAGGATATTACCATAGGTTATATCAATAAACTATACAACAATTGAATTTTCGACATGACGAGAGTACGAAATTAATTGTAGTGATCTCGGCAGTATTGTTAGAATAAGATAAGTTGTAGACATCTTGCTAACTTAATATTGTACATATTGTCATCCGTAACAATGGTCAGTAACAACGGTCAGTAACAACAAAAATCATAGACAACTATAACAAACATAATTTGCGAAGTGTTTTATAATACTTTTAAGATCCGATAAGAACAATTATAAAATTGAATACTAGAACAGCAACCATAGCACAATTTGATATCTAACGATGGCAACATCTTGAAAGACTTCCGGATTTTCCCGGAGGCCTATTCCGAGCCCTTCATTCTTGCCCTGACGCCAACACGCGAGGCTCTCTGCCGTGCCTTCCTTAGTAGTTCTTTATAGGTGTTGTGATATCTATACACTGGGTGAGTAGAAAATTTATTCTTAATGATGTAACCTTGTTTAAGTTGTTTTGAATAAATGTTCCGTGTAGCTATTTTAGCCTTGCGAGTGTTAATTAACTAAGAAAGTCTAGTTGAGATAATCGGCTAGGCTAGAGGAACGCTCCTAAAGACGGATATTGCTTAGCCCCCAGGCTGATGTAGGAGTGGCTCGGTTGACCACATATTCAAATAGGTGTTGATAGCAAATGGATAAACATTGTGACGATAATTCCTTATGTAATCATATCTTAACTAGAGTGAGTATTGTTAACGTTGAGTGGAAAACTAGAGTGAATATTGTTAATGCTGAGTGGAAAATTACTCAGGCCTAAAGTTAGTTTCTGAAATGATTGTGGAAATCACACCTGTAGAAATAATTCCAATGGCTAGAGAGATCATGTTAGAATTGTTCATTATTACTATTTTATCCATTTTGATTCAGTATTATTGAGGATTCTTTAATGTTCATTAATATTGTTTTCATAGGAAAGAATAGGATGAATTTTATTAAACTTAAATGTCTATTGTTGAGGAATATTGATTCAACTGTTGCAAGAATAATTTGAATATAATAGAATGAACTGTACTGTAGACAGTGACTTGGGAATTTAAATAATATGATTAAAGTAATTAAAATACGTCATATCATAATTGGGAGACTAATTAATTTGAGTCTGACTCATTGTGTATTGGAATTTTATCCTATGCCGATTTTGATTATGTAACAGTGATTGCTTATGGATGATAGTGATAAATTTAAATAATTTCCCCATTGAGGATTATCGAGTATTCAATAATAGTTGATACTTATAGTAGGATTTGATTGTGGATTTTGATACAGTTAGCTTCAATGATATTGAAGTCAATATATTTCTTGTTATTGTTCAAATAAGATATTCCATTACATTAATTTAATTGGGGGAAACCTAAGAAATGTAAAATGAATGAATTTTTAGGTTACTGATTGAAATGTTAATGGTTAAAAGGACTAAGTTGGATTTTAAGATTAATTCCCTACATTACTGTCTCGATAAATTGAAAGAAGAGTTGGTCAGACTAGATATGAATTAAACATAAATTGTCACTTGAATTTAAATTAGTTGTAATTAAATTAATCCAGAAATGTGTTGGTGGAAGTCATTATTAAATTAAACTCGTGGTAAATTCTACGGATGATATCGGTCGATGAAATATTTTATCCATGCCCTGTATTAATGTCGATGAAATATTTTACCCATGTCATGTATTAATGCTCAACTTTGTTCGCAGGCCTATTTACCGTACATGTTGACATCAAACTAAATAAACACGAAACCTCTGACCTGCATCCTCCTATTACCCTACCTGCATCTAGGGAAGCATCAGTCTAATATAAATCGCAAGAGAAACATTAATCAAACGACTAGTCCTCCCCAGTCTTCAGTGAGATAAACCTTTCCTTCCCAAAGTAACGACACTGGCAACCAATAACCTGCCAAATAATCAACACTTATTTTTAGAGTTTATTCTTTTGTATTTTTTTCATACAATCGAGCTTGCGATTAATGTTTCCCTTAAAATATTTCTACCATGTAAGATCTAGAAAATTATTGTTGATATTATTAACTAGATAATTATAAGTGCATCGTAGCTGTCGACCGTGACAGGACCCAAAGCTCCCCTGGCGGCTCACCCATGATAACGTCGAGAGTGAAGAGCGTCACTGAGGGGTACACGTTGAAGGGCTTGTCCCCTACATTGTACTGGAGCTTGTCTACAAACCGCAGGGCTTGGCGATTGAAAACTTCCACGAAATCTTCCAAGATTTTAAAATGGAAGGTTGGGGTCAGGAGCCGCCGGCGTGACTTCCACTTTTGACCTGGAAATTTGATTGAGACTAAATGTTTGTTGGCGTTGGCGAGTTATTAAAAAAATTTTACAGTACAGTTTTACAGTAAGAGAGAATGACTCGATTTAGAATTAATTTATATTTAGCAGTTAGTTTGTACAAAATAAGAATGAGACTTCATGCGCTGAAAATGGGGTGAAATATGTCACTACATGAATTATGAAAAAAATTTCAGATCAAAATACGAGGCATGTTTTTTAAGTAAGGACCATTTTGAAATTAAAAAAGTCGTTCAAAGATATTGCAATAATTTTTTTTTACATAAATGCCTGTACCTTAATCTACTTTTCTACATAATTTCCGTGAATATTAAGGCACTTGTCATAACGTGGCACCAGTTTTTTAAAACATTCCTGATAAAATTCTGCCGCCTGACTTGTTAACCACGGCATCACAAATGTTTTGACTTCGTTATTTTCTTGAAGACGCCGACCACCCAGGTGTTTCTTCAAGTGCAGTGTGATGCATTTGATGTAGTGTGATGTATCACACTGCACTTGATGCATCAAATGCATCACACTGCACTCTTCATTTGTGATGCAGTGGTTAACAAGTCAGGCGGCAGCATTTTATCAGGAGGGTATTCAAAAACTGGTGCCACGTTATGACAAGGGCCTTAATATTCGCGGAAATAACGTAGAAAAGTAAATTAAGGTACAGGCTTTCATGTGAAAATAAAATGATTGCGATATATTTGCACGTCTTTTTTTAATTCCAAAACGGTACTGACTTAAAAAACATGCATTGTATAATAGACTTAAAACCGATCTTCACAACATAACATAACGAAAGATTTCCTCTGATGAGGGCAAGGCTAAGGTTCTTAATCAGTTCTTCAGCAGTGGGTTCACAGATGAGGACTTGAACAGCATTCCAGATATTGAGGAGCGCTCAGTCGGCTCGAAGTTAACATGTTTTGAAATACACGAAGAAGAGGTTCTCAAGCGCCTGGTAGCTCAAAATCCCAACAAGTCATGTGGACCAGAC